TGTTGCTTGATGAGTGCCCAAACCCGAGACTTGAAGACCCAGACGCCACTATTGCTGGTGAGGATTAAATGAACAGGGTTGAGGTTCTTCGAGTGTAGCAGCCATTCCAGTGACTTTTCCTATCCCACTCCAACACAACCTCGTTTGAAACCTTAAATCTGCCGCAGAGTGCATTTCCGAGTTGAGGCTTCCTTCCGAACCCTTTCCATTCCATATACTAAGAGGTGGTGTACTACATCATCGCGATAGTAACATGCTGCCTTATTATGACCATCACTCGGAAACATATTCATAAGGACTGGCAAATTCTCACCCTTCTCACGTCCTCTACTTTCAGTTACCTCTGGGACGTTTCCAATATCCATTGTGTAGCCAACGTTTCCTGTTTTTTCTCCACAAAAAACCTAACTTGCTGCTTGCTACCTTCCATACAATCTCCTACTACAAAGGTGTTCATCACCCTATTAGGGTTGACGAATTTTTGTGCACCTTGGTCCATGTCCTAAGATATCCATTTCTCGCACGTCCGCTTGTGTGTGACAAGAAATCAAGCAGATAAGTAGAGCGTCTACGGTATATTTGGACCGACACATTAGTTGCCGAATTACAGCAATGTGCACTGACTTCAATGGGGTTAATCGATATTTTGTATCAAACTGTTGTCCCCGCTCTAGTGCCTTGGTGTCGGATAAAAATCGTCAACAATGAACACAACAGCTTTATGGTAAACAAGTGAGTGCAAATTACAAGGGGGCCCGTGGTATTTAAAGGGCACCTGTGACATCGATCCAGGCCGTCTGACCGGCGTTTGGTGAACATCCATCACCATTGACCGTGCTTCAATGAATACTTGAACACCACCGATCGTGCTTTTGTGGCATGCGTGAACACTCACCGACCGTTGCTGAATCGATTGACTGCTTGAGTGTTCAATCTGAATGTGGTTTCTATGGATTGGAAGCTTGACTACTGTGATTTTGGTGTAGTTTGAGTGTCTCAGTAGATTTCGAGCATTCTGGGACTATTTTCAGGAATCTGGTCTTCCTTAGAGAAGAATATTTTCTTGCCAACTCAAAGGAAAAAAGAAGCCTTACTTCCGAAACACTCCCGATCTCAGCTGGTCACCCACACATTAAGTAAACAATTGAGCTTAATAGAATGAAAAATCAATTGATTAATTGTTGGCAATGCAGGAACTACTTGACCAGGCCTAACGAAGTAAACTGGAAAAGGATAGAATGAAAAACCACTAGGATGGACTTAGCTAGCTCAACCAAGTTGGTGTAAAACGGAAAACTATCTGGACTGACTGTTACTTCGGGAAACAGGTGTCAACTGTTCTCATTTGGTCATTTTTCATCAGATAGCTTCTGGACAAGCCATACAGAGAAACTAATCTCATCCTGAAAACCGGAACTCAGTATAGTCTTGCCAAAATATTTAGGCTACTGAAAGAACACCGGGTTCGGACCCAGCAACCGAAATACGAAGTCGTTTGAAGTGGGCATATCACTTCGCAATCCTAAGTATACGATATCAAAACCAGTGTTTCTCTCATTGAGAATGAGAGCATTTCCAATCCACCTATATTCCATATGAACCATCTAACTTGATCAATTTTACGACATGGGGATAGTAAGCAAATTTACTAAAAACTGGCTAGTTCCTAAAACATTGTGCCTGTTCAGTTAAGGATTCTAAACCTGTTTTAAAGCACCCAGTGCGGAGTTAAGCGATTTCGGAAAACCTAGACATTACATTTTACGACGGGTCCCGGAGACAGTCTAGTTATCGCTCCAATAAGACTGACACTTTTGTGAGTGTGTGAAAAAGGCAAAAACTTGTTGATGTGGCAAATATAATGAAACTACCGTGAACGTCCAAAACAATAAGCTTGTGGAGATATACGAATGTTCTGGGCTCCATTCGACAACAAGTTTCAGTTTTCTGGGATTAACAAATCGTGTGTCTCACTTCTCTCAAGTATTCCTTCAGTCACCTATGTACCAGGTTTAGGTCCACTACAGGCCCCAAGGGTAGGGATCGGGCCGTCTGCAAAGTATTATTATGCTTGATAAGATGCACTATCAAGCGCTTACGGCTAGTCAGCCGGTAAATAGCACTCACGGCAGTAACACCCAGCTCACCCTCATGACGCCAACAATGGTATCGCACTACCAGAAGAGTGGATTCTCAGCATATTGTGCAGTGTCAAAACCGTACTTATTCCACGCAGATTGCTGAAGGCCTCTCTGTAGTGTTCTTTTCTACCCAAAGACCATGGCTCGCTATAGACAGCAAAAAAGAGGATTGTTTATCCTGATTTTATAAAGTATCAACTTCTGTCTGTCAGTGGAGTTCTGTAGAAAGATGCCCTCATGTTTGCGATGTAAACTGACTGGGAATTCCGGACTTCTGTAGCGGTCGTTTCGTTCCAAGTTTCGAACCAGACTAGATGATGAAATAGTTATGTAGTGACGTTCCACACTTTATTGAGAAGTCAGGTCACCAACCACAAAAGGTGGCTGGAAAAATCCCTTCACAAAATATGAACGGTGGAACAATTCCCGCAAAGCCTATGTGCATCAACCAATCAAATTGAAGTGAGTAGTTTTAATCCATCCGTGTTCTATTGGTACGAACTTGAGAAGCGTCTTTCCTGAAAATCTGACAGATCGTTTTTGACGGGTCTCCCTTATTCAGGCGTACTCAGCCCCACGTCCGGGTTACTTAGACTGCTGCTGGTGTTACGTCAACACGTATGTCGATCCATGGGCTCCTGAGTAGGGTCGGCTTCCTTAAACGGCTAGACAAGGTGCTGGACATGACGCAATGGTCCATGTGCACGTGCGAATACCTTCATACAGGAGGCCATGGTCGAACCTGACCCCACAAACCTTTCGTTATTCGCTCATGAGGAAGAGCGAACCAAAGTACTAGTTGATCGATATACCTGCCGAAAAAGGACCGGTCTGCGGGCAAAAAGGCCGCAACCAAGCTTACAATGGATCTTATCACTTGCCTCTCAGATCCTAGACAGGATGGGGCTGCTTCGTGCACTGTACAACCGATTGGATTGAAACTTCAGGTGCGGATGTACAAAGCCATGAAAACAAGTGCCCGACTTGGAGCGGAACAAAGCTACGAAAACTCCAAATATGTAGTAGGTAACCTCTTAAAAGAGTCTGGGATCCGTCAACTGCCTTGTGTGCCCTCATCTCGGCAGCAGGCCTGTTAGTTTTGGACCACTGAGCTTTAGCCCGCCGTAGTAACATAAAGCCGTGAAAAGCGTCCAATAATTAAGCGCAGCAATTAAACCGACTAGATATCGTGTGTCAGACTACCCAACAAAAAAGTAACAGAGGAGGAAAATTCGAGGCTCGGAAGTTAAGCATGGAGTTGGTGGTTCGAATCCACTAGTCATTCTTCAATTGTTCCCATCTAGACTTAGACGATCTGACAGCAGGGACATAGTCCATTTTGAGGACTTTGTATGCGCTTACTTTTTGTCAGACCGAAGGCAAAAAGTGAAACAACTATCGATTTTTGCGGGGCGAAATTCCATAAGCGATGCTGTACAAACGTAAGTACTCGACTGCTAAGGGCCATAAAGCCGGGTTTTCACTGTCTGGCCTTACAATGAGTCGGGGTGAAAGTTGTCAGCAGATTAGCATTGATCCATGCACGCAACTAACGTAACACGAACGTTGTTCGTGTGTCTAAACTGACTATTAGCTGCCAGCTATACCTCACAGCCGTAGTTAGTCAATATCCGCGTGGTCACGCCCAAAGGCTTCTGGTGCGTGTACATACGACAGACGAGTGGTAACAAGCAGTCCAGAAACATGTGAAGTTTCTGACGCTCGTCCACACGCGGACAAACCACTCATCAACCAACTCCAAATGTTTCAATAGGTTGGGAATCAATAAATATGACCAACGCAAAGAACACACCTGAGGATTGCGAAAACTGATCATTCCTGTGGGTAGCCTCTGCATCCAGCACATTCTTCTTTACGAACTGAGCAGCGTTACTTTGCTCACTCATCGTCGATGTGTTGAGATATTGATTTCCCACGACTACGTACAACATCGTCCCTATATACAGGTCCCTCTAAACAAGCTTCCGAAGGAGTGCACATGTGACGAAAATTCGCGGGCACCAAGGCGTCAGATGTTTCAATGCTCACGCTAGAAGTCAAACCATGACCCATTGTCTAATGCATGTTTACGATTGTCATAAACAGTTTATGAACACGTGGAAGCTTTATTCTGCTTTGAATCTATTTGGCTTTTCACGAATGGAAAAAAACGCGAGGAAGTTACTAGTGCGCATTGAAACGTAGAGTGAGAATTTGTAAGCCCACGTTCCTCCGGAAAATACGCTAATCGATCTATGTCTGAAGTTGTCTTTCCTGGTGAATATTTGTTTACTTTAGCGGAACTTTTGTACACGTAAGAAAGTTTTTTTTACAAAGTTTTTATTCGGATCCGACTGTACAATGCTATACAGCACACTTTTCTTAGTTCACAGAATGGTAAGATCTCTCTCTGACGGGGCGCTCTATAACGGTCGAGGGTTGGACACTGTAGTGTGCCATACCCATGCGCCTGTCCGTGGATAGTACACCAGTAGGATGCACTCTATGATTTTCGACCACCAGTGCGAATTTTACCCAATGGCGATTGTCTTTGGAGCTAAAGGACATCAGCACTGAACAGAGATATCGCTGATCGATGAAACTCAAGCTCACATGTGACAAGAGAGGCAGCGTCCGTGGTGGCTCCGCTGTTAAACTACTCGTCCGATGGTTAGGGGATTATCGATCCGAGTTCCATACATGGGCGTTTGTCCTTTCAGTTCATTGCCTAACTGAGCCCCTATTAGGGGTTACCCAACCCCCTCATATCTACTACACCATTATTATTGTGACCGGGTCTACTTAGTAGCACTTAGGCCAAATTTCCGTTAGCTAATGTTAACACAAGTTCGGATGCATCCTGTTTGTGAAAGAATTAGTATCAAGAGTGACCGGAACGAAAACAAAACAGGCAAAACATCATTTAAACTGATTACATGGAACAATCTTGCGCTTCACACGTGACAACAAGTTGTCCAAGTACCAGCACTGTTCGACAGCGCCAATCAGATCACATACTATTTTCAGTTTTTGGCACACAAACAGTGACTAAACTAGAATGCTGCCAAAGAAGTATGCCCTGTCTTCGTTTAATTTCACCAGGGTTAGTACAATCGAATCAGGTAAGGTTTGGAAGCGTTAAGATTAAAGCTATGGTCTCACAAATGCTAACAGCTGTTTAGGGCACTTGACCGAACGCGGATAGCTTGGGTCACAAGCGACTGTCCCCAAAATGCGCTTGAACTAAACATGAGTGAGCAGCACCTTGCTAATTAACCCTCGTTCCGACGAGCTGGAAAAATTAGAAGAGCAACCTATTATCCAAATTCAGTGGTGTTCGCAGCAGCGCTCCGTCAAACATCACATCCACAGAATGACAGTTCATCTGAAGATACTTAATTGCATCCCAGGTCTTTCGGAGAGCGAACTATACGAAAACGGGGCGTACAGTTCCAGGATTTCGCGTTTGGGCAAAAGCTGGGGGGTACACAGCAATAATGAAGGTCGTGTAAAAGAGGCGACAATTTGGGTGAAGAACTTCAAAGTGGAACTATGGTAGGGATGTGCGGTGTGGATTTGGAAAAGTCAACAGCACAACATAAGATAACCGGTGCATTCCATCACAATTCGGATTTCATTTCGGTGCCAGTAACAAGATGCAAAGACCAGTCGGTAGTCAAAATCAACCAGGGGTGACGTGTGATAACCACACCTTCTTTTCTCTCACCGAAGTATTTATGGTCAGCCAGGTCGGTCGGCTCCTGAGTGAAGCGTACAGGCTTACGTTCGCCCAAGCCAGTGATGAGCGTGACTCGCTGTAGAGGTAGTTGCATTCCCACAAATACAATGCGTTCAATAGAAACACTCCGCAGAGATGTGTTAACCTGTGGTAAGACTGTCGTGCCTGGCAACGGGAGTAGATGAGCACGCATACGACCACCGGCGACTTTATTGGAAAGTGGATCGCGGTCAACCTCATATTCGATGCGGTAAAATTGTGCTGTCTCACGGGAGATTGAATGATAATCATCATCATACAGGTAACCATGAGAACGATCAGAATTGGGGTCTATGAAGACATACAAGGTGAATGGATCCCATTGCATCAGCCATGAGGAACGACGAACACGCTGACGTCTCGGCACGATCCAACCTCCGCGATAGAACGCAGGTATAGTTGACAAACCGACCGGAAAATGAACCTTTTGGTTACCGTCGAAGTCCTGTGACAAGAAATGGGAAAAGGAAGCTATGTAAATGTGTGAAATCTTTTTCGGTCGGTTGATTAAGTATTTTAAATGGAACAACGTAGGAACATGGATTTTCGGAGCACTATGTCCTCTTAAAAGAGTGAATCGAAAAAGTCAACCAGCTAATTCCAAACACAATTTACTTTACCCAACTGTCGACCTACACGTAAATATGTTGATTAAGAGACAAACCTAATCCAATGCAGCTGAGGAAGGAAATTTCAAAGAAAAGTTGAAAAAACTACCCTTTGCACAATATCCACTGCACCCGGTTGAAAGCGTACCCTTATTCAAGGATAGGATTAAGTTTACACCCTGTCCCACAAGTGGATACAGTTTACACCTTCTATGGCCTGTTGTGAATCATCATTCCACGAAACTTTACAGAGATTCGAATTCCCGATCTTTCCGTTGGCTGTTGGATACCATACCATTTGGTTTTCCGGGAGTGATTAGCCCGCAGTTAGATAGGATAGAGTGAATCTGCCGTTTAGTCATGCGGTTTGCATTACGTAGTCCGACGTTAGATAGCTCCTCGGGTGACGACCTTTCAGATGTCCACGAATAACGGAAAACAGAAAACGATGGATAATAACCCATCAATTGGTCCGGCGAATCTGAACGCAGCTTCGTGCATAACGATCCCTCGATCATTGAGACCATACAGGCTTCCAGGAGGAAATATAAATGATCTGCATTTATAACATATGGAAAGAAATATCGCGGCTTTTCAGTTGCCACGGAAACGGGAACGAATTACCTCCAATTATCTTGACTGACTTGGACTGTATTTCGTCAGAGAGGATGTAAGTTGAAGAAGACTGTTCTTCGGTTTAGGAAATTCCTCAGCGTAGTAAGCGGTGGAATGCTCCACAGAGAAATCGTTGAGGTACAGCACGCTTGACGGCTTTAAGGAAGATTACACACTACGATGTGCCACCTTTCCATCAAGTACGCCTCCTCAGTCCGGACTTAACCAAGAGGTTCTTGTCCAGCAATTGGGTTAATGGAGGTGGACTTCGTCCATACAATAGCTGGTAACACCAAACCCTGGCTGGGAACCAATGTACTAGGTGGAACAGTGTCATATAACATTGTCACTACCTGCTTACGACATGATTCCAGCCAAGGACGTAAACCTCACAACAGCTCGTATGACCTCAACCTGGAATATGCACCTATAGTGCGCATCGGTTGACGCCACCAGAATTACATAGAGTCAAAGTCCCAATCACCCAATCTTCTGTGTTAGAACTATTACTAAGACGAGTCAACGCACCAAATTTACATTTGTCATATAGGACAGGCGATTACTGTAAATTTCATGACAAACAACTGCGGAAAACATCTGTAAACAAAGGGTCTTGGACAGACACTGTATTCAACTGGGCCTCCCAACCTTCATGGACAGAATTCAACGATGGCACCAGGTATTCAGAGAGCTCACACAATAACTCGCTAGATCAGTGCATTTGATACCGAGGCTCGGTAGGTCATATGAATAAATTGTTCTAAAAAGTATGTTATCTCGTTAAGGTATAGCGTCAAATAAAGAATACCAGCTGGGTGGCACGACGGGAAACTGCACGGTAACCTGCGGTAAAACGGTCGACTGAAGTACATAGGGAAAGTCGTTTTGTAAGCTTCAGGGATCATAGTGCCGAAGCGCAGATTGCTCGGTGTGAATGATTCCCCGTAGGAGATTGCGATTCACTACCATATGCATTGTTGGCGAACATTGTACGCGCAGAAGCGCTTCTGTATCTCGTTGAAGATGACGTGGAACGTTGACCTGTCGGTCCGCTGAAAGCAGGAACTCGGTTAATGAACTTTTTTGCTTCAGCACAGTCATCTCCACCTCCCGGAGGGATTGCCACCAATGAAATTTGAAGCGTCTTCTAATGTTTCTGAAAACTAGCCACTAAAATCGTAAAATATGATCGGCATCTGCCGGAAAGTTCAAAACATCACGCTGCTCAATTTTTTACACAATTTCACAGTGGGCAGATGTAATTGTTTGTCTGAACAGTACCTGGTCTTCACCGACCATTTAAGATGGGATCCGGTGGCTAGTGATGAACAATGCTTTTTGGACTAGCAAGCATTTGGTCGACGCCATAGCTAAGTCGCCTGAACATTACACAGTGCATTTTGAAATCACGAGCCACAACAATCTGGGAAACTTCTGCTGTTGAACAGGCATTCGTGAAACATGCGAGTTCCACTTGTGGTGAGCACGAATGATGTATACCTTACCCAACAAAGGTCCGAAAAGAACTGTTGTTTAGTTGGAATTCCAAATCAAGAGACTGACTGCCAGATGCAAACCAAATATGGACATTCAAAACAGACTTATCGATTCTACCGGCAGTACCTTCTGAGCTCATCCGCTGAAAATGTGTTACACGTGAAATTTGGAGGACAGCTGTCAAGTGGAAAATAGAACACAAATCTGGGAAGCACAGCTCAAAAGAATCCACTGTGCCGTTCTCTTCCAAAATTTGCTTCAAAAGTATACGCTAAAATTTTATCTTCTTGGGTCCCAATTTTCTTTACCATTTACTTAGACGGTCCAACCAAACGCAGCACACTTTTGGCCATTGAGCTTTCCTAGCGAGCAGGGTTCGGTCAATTCGACTGATAAAGTGATTGAGTTTTTGGTTTCAGATTCTATATAAATGCGATTAATGTTTTACTTAAGCGTGTTGAACAACTGCGGAAAGCCTATTCTTGTACTTCCTATTGGGCACTAAGACATTCGGCTGAGGTGTTTCGCCCTAAAGGTGAATGGGTGCGAATTTTCACGTTAGCTCAATACAATATGTATTATTTTTTGCCGTTGTGATTGGTTCCACGTGTCTTAGGTGTGTAATGTAAGTTAAGAATGTGATAGTTACGTGGAAAAGTTGGAGTGTGTGATTCATCAGACGGCTTTTTCAAATAGTTCTCTCAAGAAAAGTAAACCGTTTCTTCGACAAATACTCTCATTTGCACATGAATTTGGTTTTAACGGGAGACTCGAATGAATCCAGCTGAATTTCTCGTTTGTGATGGTCCGCTTCAACTGAACGTGCTGCACCAGGCGGCTTCATGTTTCACTTGGTTCGATATTCGAGATGTTGCTACAAATTGTCTAAATGTGACTGAGGCTTAATTCTGGACCGAACATTTACTTTGTTCGACCGTTTGAATTTTATCGTGAATTGGGTAACCACATCACAGAGCAATAAGGGTGATGCATTATTCTTATCTGACTGGAAACATGACCAGGAAACCTATTGGTGTTCCGTCCTCATCCACAGAATCCTCAAAGACCTGACAACGAAGAGCCCGTTTTTTGTTAGATGGTCACAACGGACTCTCGCAACCAAGCTCAAAGACTAATCAACTCTGATGCCTTCAAATAAACAATAATCTTACAGTTGTTAGATATAACCCGATCGATGGATAAACCCCTATGTGTAAAAAAATTTAAAAAAAAGTCCAGTTTAGCAGTTCTTCTAAGTCATCCACGTACAAGTGATCACCGAAAAAAACTTCAAGCAACTGTAAGGTTTTGTAAAACAAAATAGTTCAGATGAGGGGATTACCACGTCTGCTTTTTCCTCAAAGATGGATTTGGGAAATTTATACTACGTTCAAGCTGGAACTGATCTTTAAAGGCGATGCATCTTCCAATAAGAATTGAAGCATGAATTTCAGAAGTGCCCGCGGGCACGAATTAATGCAGTCAAGATTGAAATCACCCCATGGCGAGTGAGCTGTGATTTCTTGAAGGCGTCTCCTGTCGAGGCATCCTCGGCTGTTCTCTATGGCTAATCCGGGAAGCAGGCTCATTTAAGTGATACTTCTATGAGAAAGCGAACGAGGCAAATAAGAAGTTCAGGTTCCTGGATACAAGCAAGACATCCCAATAATTTTATAGGCCCTTACTTTCAACGTTGGGTAGTGGTACCAAACCCCAGGGGGAAAGTAGACATCAACATATCGTGCACCCTCGGAGGTGACCGGTCGAACCAGCAAAGCCTCACCAATCATGTATTCGTCTTCCAAATCGTATGTCGAAGGCATATGTCGGAAATGATACCATACAGGTGCCATCACCGGTTGTCCGTCTGCCTCGGCCCGAGCAAACGTTGTATACCAGTATGGTAGCAAATTATAGCGCTCTACGACAGCCTCACTGGAAAAGCAGAAAAGGGGTACATGTGTGGTAGAAAAGCCGACATTATTAACACTGTGTTGCAGAGACACCTAGCGGGTGACACAATAACTGCTAGCAGGACAATATGAGGAACAATCAAAACCCAGGAAATAAAAAATGGACACATCCTGACCGAATGAATCCGGACGAAACAATTTTATATGACTAAATCATGAGTAGGCGTGAATTGCAAACAACATACTTACCGAACAGCGTTCATATACTCCTCTGGCAGCGTCCATGGCTCACGACGCTTCGTATCGATATGTGCATGTGACCGGAAAAACGGTTGGAAAGCCGCAGCTTGGTACCAACGTGTCAACAGCTCGGGTTCAGGGTTGCCAAAGAAACCTCCTACGTCGGCACCACAGAGAGTTATTCCAGTTAACGACAGTGACAACAGCATTGGAGTGGAGATCTATAAAACAAAACACCAGTGGGCAAGTCGGGGTAGAGTTAAATATTCAGGTCATCAAATCAAAAAGTCGAAATCAAGCACATCGAGCTACCTTACACCACATCTGCTTACTTGCAAATGTCCCCAACTGGCCGTGTTGTCTCCAGTCCAGACTGCAGCTGTGCGTTGTGATCCGGCAAAAAATGCACGGGTTAGAACAAACGGTCGTTCCTGATTTTTCGAACGCAACAACAATCCCTCCCAGGTGGCACGATGGACTTGAAGACCGTAGATATTGTGCACGTCCCTGTGTTCGCGATTGCCCTCGTGAATTGTATCCTGTAATAAAGAAAACAAGTAGTTAACAACACCGATAGAGAGCAACGAAGAGCATAGAAGCTCTCCAGGTAATGTACGAATACTCAAACTTATAGACGAGAAGCTACGATGCCTTGGTGTAGACCGAGGCGGTTGGCACACTCAGCCCACTGGCTTTCGATTGTGCTCGGAACTTGGTTATCCATCAGCATTTGCATTAGGGTTTCGCATAACTTCCCTGTCGTTTCTTGTTCTTACCTGTTCTCACACCCGACTTGAACGAGTTTCTTCCTGGCCCACGACGTGACAGTTTTTAAAGCGACACGTGAGATGAATCACGTATTACTTTCAGTTCCAGGTCCGAAGTTCAACATCATGGATATCGGATTACCGCACAAGGGTGTGACCGGTTGGGTGTTCGTATCCACTTCTATGATGGGTTAACGTGGCAAGCGACGTCGGCACCACACTGAAACATGTGTTATATAATTAATCAAATCAATTAGGTTTGGGACATTGGTTCCTGCTGCCACAGTTTCGATCGTTGGAGAGAGCGTGAAAGGTACGGCCATGCATCGAAGGTGGTGACGGATCCAGTTAGTTCGAGATCATAGCTTTGATGTATGAGCGCCACTGACTGCGCGATTGGATCACTTCCGCCAAAGTCATCAACCATTAGTGAACTGAGTCCCGGAGTCCTCATCCAGGGAGGTGACAGTTTTCAACCCGACTCGGTTTACTCGTTAGTGTTTCCATACTTCATAAACTGTCAATGTCACTCAGCACAGAGCTGGGAGGGAGACGGTCCCCTGACATGTGGATGTTATGTCCTAACCGTCGTAACCTATGAAGACTGAGTAATTCATCTATCATGGGAGAGTTTTTTCCCTTACACTATCTAGCGTACCTCAGTAATGCTAATCCGATGTTACCACGATCAACACTTCGGAGACAACGATAGTCTACGCTGACAGGTTTCGTATTTCCTCTGCATTTAGAGACCACGTTTCTGATCTATAAAGCAGTATGGGTTGCACTGACACTGTATAAAGTCTGTCATTAACGGAAAAACTCACGTTACGTGAGCACCACAAGTGTCGGAGGTTGGCAAAAGCTGGCCTGTAGTTCCCGATTCGAGAAGTAATCTCATCCCCAGCGAGGCCACCGAAACTTATACAACTTCTCGGGTGAGCAAATTTACCTGCCACTTCGATTGGCTTGTCTCCACGCTTGAGGTTTGGATTATATAT